TTTAAGTTAACTTTAACCCACGACAGAAACCTAAGAAATGTGTGACAGATTCCACAGAGATTGTAAAAATTGCCTTTCTTCGCTCCCTATGAAAGACATGACATCAAGAATGAGAAAAGAAAGAGGAGAAGATAGTTTTAGTAGCATAAATGAAATGCAAGATGGTTGAAGGCTGAAAAAAAAAAACAACAGCTACCTGAAAACAAACCCCTGCCTGCTCCAAATTATATCCTTGGGTTAATGTACACAATTTCTAGTCAACTCCAGAAGGGTTATGTCTTCATGTGACTAAAGACACAATTTAGTTTGCAGCTGACAAACCAAATGGCTGCATCACACGTAGCTTTGGCACATTTGTCCCACTTAAGCTCTCTTTTGAGGTCCTTGCAACATCTATTGCACAAAGACTTTAGGCTAGCTTTGAAAGGGTTAAATTTCATGCTTAGAGAATTACAGAGGGTAAACAATTTCTCCTTATTACTTGGTTCTGGTAAAGTTTAAGAAAGGATGAAACAAGCTTTTATTTCCTTTATGTATTTTCATTAGTTTGTGGACATGAGGGACTGGCGCTTGGAGGCAGTGGATGACAATACTGACATTCCCGTCACTTTCAATCCAGTCAGTAATAGTGTAGTGGCTGATGTTCAAGAGCTGCCTGCTTCCATGCATAGTTTGTACTGGAAAGCACCACCGTCTTACCTGGGAGAGAAGGTAAATGACCCCTAACTCATCTGTTTTAATAACATGTATTCATTTTTTGCCAGCATTGTTGATAAAGAGTTTCATTATTTTTCTTAGATACATTTCTCTCTCTTCCCTCACAAGATTCTTCTGTCTCTTACCTGGCATGCCAGGAGTCACATTTGTCTTTTGAGTACAGTGTTAAAATTATAATCAGTAACGCGGAATTATTCCTCTTGCTGGATGCCAGGGAGGTATTTATGTGAACAGCATGGTCAGGAACTATGGTTCAGGGAGCTGACACCTTCAGCTGCTTTTCTGAAACCCAGAACATGTAGAGCTTGCCAATGTGCCCGAGTATCCTTTAGATTCCCTAGAGTATCTCCTGGGCAGATTTCCAGAAGAACAAAAGGTGATTTTGTGCTCAGCGGCCCACAAAAACCCCAACATTTTGCCTTCAATATGTTGCTTGGGAAGAGCAACACCTGTTTTTCTAACCTTTGTATTCTTTGAATTCTTTGCTTGCTGCTCTTCCTGTTCATGCGTGGGGACAGTCCCTTGCGTACGGTTAATACCTATCAACATTTCAGCCTGGGGATCACACTGACTGGGGGACTTTGCTAGTGGTGGCTTGCGGGCCCAGAGCCCCATGTTCTCCTTGTCTGTGACTCTGACTGTGTCAATAGTTGTTAGCCAGTTGTAAGACACACAAACTTTTCGGATGCAATCCTGCTCTCACGTAAGTGAAAACAAATGGGATAGACACCGGATCATTAAAGATGGTGTGATTTTTGAAGTCCCTCTTAGTCCTCATTTTAAGGATTAGAGCAGTATTTTTCACCCTGCTCTCCTGTGCTCAGAGGTACATGTTTTTCAGTTAACAGCATGTTTGGTTAGGGTGCTTTTTGTTAACGTTATAGTGGTTCTTGTTTTAATGTCTACAAATTATTTTTCAAATAAATTTCATTATAAAGCATACTTTATCTACTACTTTTGTTGTTCCCATAACAAAATATAAAGCAGGCAATAACTGTTTTTAAACACAGCTATTAAGAACAGTATCTAACTAGGCGTGGCATGACTTGCTTTTATGTACAATGGCAACACTGTAAATAAAATAGTTCTATTTTTGGACCTGCTTTTTCTGTACACTGTGTGCAAGTGTATATTTTAGCACAGGCAATACTGCAGTAGTGAAAGTCCCCCAAAAGCTCTATCTTGCTGCTAGTTTTACAAGCTCATAAATTTGTTGATTATTCACATTATTGTATTCTGAAAATGTCAGGTTTTGGTGTACCTCTGCCAGAAAACGTGAACAAGATCACTTCAGATATGTTTCAGTATGGTGAGGGTAAAAATACTGATTTCCATTATCATAAACCTTTTAACTAGTTCCACTGGAATATTAATATTTAGCAGAATATTTTTTCTTTCCTCTATCTTTTGTTTACAAAGTTAAAAGGGAATCAAATGTAAAATCTATAGCAGTGCAGGAGCTAACAGTCATTGAGAAATTCAGATCACATCATCCCCATTTTCTGCTCTTTTGTATTTTAACATTTTATTTAGACCACTCTTAATGTTAGAAAATAAATATTGCACATATAGAATATAGAGGGTAGTTTATAACACCAATATTTTCCCATTAAAAAAAATAATTCAAAAAGCAGTAACATAACAGCCTATCATATGATACAGTCCTAAAATGTGTGCTAAACAGGAAATTTTTGAAATAAATTCTTTTATACAGGGTTGTTTTGATTGTGTTGGCAAAATGTAGCCAATGTTCCAAATTATACTTTTGAAAATGCAGTTGGCTAAAGATAATAGCATTAATTATGGCCCTGTGATACAAGGAACACATTTAGTATTGAGATGTCTATATTTTGTTTGTAATTCATCAAAGTATATGGAAAGGGGTAGATCGAAGAGATCAAAGGCTGGTGCTTACCTGCAGAACACCAAAACCTGACAAAGCAGTTCTTCCTCCCATGTCAAAACCAAGCATAAGCTATAAAGGAAGACAGCAAGGACTGAAAACCAAAGTGGTGTATCTGTGGCAAAACACCTGGTTTCAGCTAGTACCCACAAACCTTCCTTCTAGGCTCGTCTTGGAGCAGAAGCTGTCTAGGCTGTGCCTGGACCTTCCTTTCCTCTCAACATGTTTTGAACTGAGTCACTCAGACATAACCCAGGGAAGCCGTTTGTCAGATAATTCAAACATACTTGCCCAAGTCTTTGTTCTGAGCAGCAGCGTGTGTATTTGGTTGGGTTTGAGGTTGTCTGTGGTCACCTGTAGTGGAGCCAAAAGAAGTGTGTTTTCAGCTCAGCCTACAATGACAATCTGTTTACAACAGAGCTGATATCAGCTTCAGTAGAAGTCCTGTTCTCCAGAAGGTCAGCAAAGATTTCCTGATTAGATTCCTGTTTGTAGTAAGTTTATAAAAGCCACCTTTAAACATTCTTAGTCTGACTTTTTATGCATGGCTGTTCATGGGGTTCACTAACACTTTCATTGTCAGTCTGACGCCTGCTCTTGATTAGCCAAATCTGTTCTGTAGGGTCAGGAGAAGAACAACATTCATGGCAACATGTGATTTCTCCATGACACAGATGGTGTGATCCCAGGTATGAAAAAAACCCTCGGTGAACGTAACCTTCCAGAGAACAGTGACTGCTCAAAAAGTGATGTCAGATACACAAAGTCAACAAAATAGAAAGTAATTTCTTCCAAGCAATATGTATTTTCATATTTTGTCTAAAAAACAAAGAGTAAATATGTTGTTTACAATGCTGAAGATGGGGTAAACTTGAATACAAAGTATTATTATTATCAGGCAATAGTGCAGTAGAGTATCTCTGGTCTTGTGTATTTCATTACAGCTTTCTTCATATGGTGGCTTCCTAAGTTACCAAGTGAAATCTTTTGGCTTACCTAGTGAGGGCATGGTTCTTCTGGATAAGAGACCTGATATACAACTAACAGTAAGTTCTGAAATATTATTTTTCCTTTCGAGCAATACCAATACCATGATTTTTTCTGTTACCTGACAGCTATTGCAAATTTTGCCCCATAGTGTGCTTAACTTTCATAGCAACTTGCTACAGTTCTACTGAAGTGATTTTACAGCATTTTGCTCAAAGCCATCAACGCACCTCTCTCTGTTGCCGAAGTAACATTATTAAGCATAACAGACTTGAGAGCAAATAAAAATATAAAACATTATTTTCTCTGTAAAATGCACCTGTGGAAAAAAAATTAATTAATGCCTTGCACACTTGTGAACAGCTATAGCCTCGACTCTGCAAAATATGGCCTGGATTCCATGTGTAATTAATCTCATTTTCTGTGAGCATTTTCTTCAGTATAAAATTAAGCATAATATTAAGGCTTCAAGAAACTGAAGTAAAAAATGCATTTTAGGTTAACAGTTTTTTAATTTAAGAACTTTATGACCAAAATTGAAATCTTTCACTGTTTGTTGAAATTCCCAGGGGAGTGGCTTTGTTTCTTCAGACCATCAGAAATGCTAATTCAGTATCTAGGATTCTTATTGGGAAACATGCCCCATAAAGCACTACAGTAGTACGCAAAGTTGCATGTGGCCAGGATGCAAAGGAGAGTGTTTGAAAATGCAAAACCATTTTTACTCAAAAGTAATAACTAGTTCCTGTGAAAATTAAATTCGCTTGGTGTTTTGTTTGAAAGCAAAGTTGTTAATAGGCAAAAGCAGTGGAAACTCTGCTGACACTGGAACGCAGTGCTTGCTATACCGCTTTGCTGACAAAATGACATACAGTTTTCCTAGTATTACTTTGTTTTTATCACCCAAAGAATGGAATTAATGTGCTTCACCAAATTTAATTGCATCTGAACACTTTACCACAAAAAGTAGTGAAACAGCAATGTTATATCCTCATTCTCACATAGGGCCAGCAAATGAAAGTTGTTTATATGGATCCCAACAACCCACTGCCTGACCGTCAATATTATGGCCGTGTGCAGCTAGTTGAGGTAAGAATTGAAAATGGAATGGCCTTCTCTTTTCTTCCCCGTGGCACGTAAAAAATACGCAGGTAGTATGTGCAGAAATACCAAATACCTGATCATGTTAATGAATATAAACTTAAATACTGTAGATCTTTAATATAAAAACCAGTTTTTCTCTCTCTTTGCTGCCACATTGAACCTAGATTCTGCTTCATGCCATGTAATTTTAGCACCTCTAAGTTAGGCATCTTGTCCAATTCAGCCCTTAGCACTCCCTCCAGGGCCAGTGAAGTAATACTGAGTCAGTCATCAATGGACGATGATTCATTGCAGCCCCAGACTGTGCTTAATAGGGATGGAATGAACTGTTATCTGTTTTCCTTGGTGTCTAGCTACCTAGTTTAGAATGGGTGGCCAACATGCAGGCAGGTGAACCTCGCAGGGTCCTACCTTAAATCTGTGCTCAGAAGGTCAAACTGGGTTATTTATTTTGGTCTGATATATAGGCAAAAAATATGTTTCTTCAAGCCAGATTCCATTTTCAGTAATGCTGTAGCGGCAAGAAAGCATGTGAAGGTAGCCCTGAAAGACTGGATTTCTAGGACTTTGCTTATCCTTAAAAATAAAAGCATTTTTTTCCAGCCTTCTATGCTTTGGTGGGTGATACTTCAAAGAAGTGTAGATGACTGAAGAAGAACCTATATGCTTCTTCCCTTTTCAGTACCTCAAAGCCATTATATGTACCTTGCAAAGTAAAGGGTACATCCCTTTTTATGCTCATTATTTTCCACCTGTCCTGCGTTTGCATTAATTATATTTTTTTTCCTGAACCCTATTTCACCCCACACCAATTGACACTATAGAAGTCTGTTCCATAGGGTTTTCCTCCCTTTTTCTGTCATCCTGTCATCTTTGCAAATACTCTTTTTAAGAAGCTGCAGGGCAGCACTCACTTTGTACCCTTACTGTGCAGGGAAACTTCAGGCATGCCAGCAGCAATGACCTTGTATCCAGAGAAGAACTGATGATAATCCTGTCTAGACTAGATGGCTTACACATCAGAGGCCTTTACTTCACAGAGACTCAACGATTAACCCTTGGTGAGGTTGGGCTGGAAGAAGCCACCAGCGCTGGAAGTGGCAGCGTTGCATACAGTGTAGAGACATGCTCCTGCCCTCCGGAGTATGCTGGTGACTCATGTCAGGTACGAAGCGTTTGCCTCCACACTCTGCCATTATCTTCTGTCTTGCCTACAGCTATACATACTGGTTTAGTTAGAGGAACAGGTTAGTTATTAAAGTAATTAAACGTGCTTCTTGTAAGCATGTGCACTTTCAATGGCTCAAATACTTTCACTGTCTAAGAAGCACCGCAGGGTTATTCAACTCGTGATTGCTTTTGCGGAACTGTGAATGTCATTTTACATGTGTAAGGCACTATAATGAGAGATTCTTCTGTGATACCCTACAAGAGGCTGAATAATCTGGGCCGATACTTTAATAGAGGGAAGGTCAGAGGTGACTTGAGCACAGTCTGTGAGACCCTACACATGGATACGTTTCCTTATTTTGTCAGGGAAGTACATAACAAGGTCCAAGGGAACAACCTGAACCTAGATAATACTGGGTATTTTCCTGTTTTCATAGAGTGACTAACACTTTTCCTATTTTTGTAGTAAAATATTTGAAAGTTGAAGTTAAAATATTTGAAAAAATATTTGAGATATTCTTACAAAAGATAATGTAAACGTTGGAACATTGCAAAGTAATAACGTTACCTGAGGAATGGTGAAATCCTATCCACAGTTGTATATCCTGTCCCTGATGCTGTTCCCATAGCTGTAATTATTTTGGTTGTCACTTTGCTTGGCTTAGAGCTTGACTGTTCCCATGTGTAAGCACCCTAGGCAGCATAATAAAGTACTGGAGAGATAAGCAGTGTACAAAGTGCACAAAATATGAGAAATTATTCTCTCAGAAAATGGCTGAGGGTTACCATAAAGCGGCAATTGCTACACTAACCTTGCAAACATTTTTGAAATGAAAATGAAAGAATAGTATCTAGACTGGAGCAGCTGCAGAGAGTCTGAACAAAACATTTATGGCTGGCTTATGTCTTGTGTGCATCCACTGCTCAGGGCTGCTGTTAATCATCTGTTGAATACTTAATTGGAAATATGTATAGAAACTTATTTTTTTCACGTTTGATCTTTTGGGTCACACACAAATTGATGAGCATTGGCTGAAATTCGTACTGCCATCCTATTGCTTTCAACATACTGCCTTGATAAACTAAGCTGCTGGGTTTTTTTATATAACCTGGTGGAAACATATAGCCAAAGGAAATGATCAGACACTCACTGGGTAGTTCATAAGCCCCGTATGTTTATGCAGCATTACTCAGGCAGTGATTTACTACTCTAATCACCCAGCTCTGTCTGGCTGCCTTAGGTGGGGAGGAGGTGATGCCTGCCACACCCCGACTTAGGTATATATTGAGCTACAGGAACTGCGGGGTTACTTGTTAACCTCAGGAACAGTAATGTGTGCTGTACAACTTGACTCACGTATAAAGTTTAAAGGTGGGGCCCATCACAGCACAGAGCCTCATTAATCTGAGTCAGAAGCTTGGAGAAGAAGGGAGAGTATAAGGGAACGGGCGAGCGCGGAAAGGATAGCAGCATATGTTCGCAGTGGAGCTACAGTGAAAGGATGGCCCGAACGCAGAGGCTGAAGAGTGCAGGATGGCTGGTTGTCACGTTAGTAGCCCTGGGGCGTTGTTTAGCACGAGATATGCAGCAACAGAGGCTATTGTATCCTCACCTTCAGGAGGGGAGGCAGCAGCAACAAGTTCAAAGGGATTTTTACCTGAGACAGGTAATTTGTTTTCTCTTGCTTCCTTCTTTCTCTTCATTTTTAAATGGACTAATTTGATAACAACTCCTACATTACTTTATATAAAAGTAATAGAAAGGCTAATCTTCTTATGTCTCAGAGTACTTTGCTAACAAAAACCTGTGCGGGAAGTTTCTTTTAAATTGTTGTTTACTTGAAAAAAATCAGCCTGAACTCCTAAGCAGCCTAGAGCTTTATCTTCGTGTGGAATCACTTTCTCAGTATCAAAAATGCTGCTTCGAAAACAAAATGCCCACATACTTCAAATGTGTTGTTTTAAAGACAGCATAAATAGAAAAACAAAAAGCTGCATAGATTTTTTCCAAATGCATTTGGATGTATTTTTAAAGTGGCCTCCAAAAAGAGACTTTCAGTAAATAAAATTTATAAACATTAGAGCCTATGTTTTACTTAGTCATGCTGTTTAATGTATTACGGGCCCTCGTTTCATTAGAAGCTGTGTATATTGGCTCCCCATTGTTCAGGGAACATAGTCACCATTTTAAAACATGTATCTGAAAAATTTCCATTCCCTTTCTAAATTCAGTCCTTGCTCACACTGAAGTCAGTATTAAAAGCTGTTGATGATATTAGTATTTTGTATAGTTGGTTGGTTTTTTTTTTTTTTTCATTTATCTGACATGTAAAGAAGGCAAAGGTGCCACTAGCAACTGTTGTTTAAACAGCAATAACTCAATATTCCTTTTCGGAATTGCTTTGGGAGAGGTGAATTTTTTTTTTTTTTGGTAGTTACATGGTTGATAAATTCACTGTTTGATCCTGTCCCTTCTTAAATACTTACACTTCAAACCCCTGGAACATGATTTGAGACATTGTCCCGCAAACCCTTTGCTCTTCAGAATAGTCCCATCAATATTGGTGGTGCAATTGCTATGAGAAAAGATTTATGGCTTTAAAGTTCAACTGTCACTTGTTTTCCGAATGTTGTTGGGGACAGCCCCTAATGGTGAGGTAGAGGCAAGGTGTAGGTGCAGTGCAGAAGTACATTGCTGGAGGCAGGAACCTGGGAGGTGTTTGCTTCGTGGGGAGCACAGTTTCCTCCCCACTTCTGTACAACCTCTGATCTTCCTTGCACCACGCCAGCTTAGTTACTAGTGAAAAGGAGCTAGGGAATAGAAGGGGTAGACAATGTTCAGTCATTGCTGGTGGAGCTGAGAAGTTGGGCATGAATACTTGCATCAGTGTATACAGGAAGGCTCCATGCCTAGGAAGAGTTCATTGTACATTGTGCCTTCCCTGCCCATGCCAAGCAAGAACCTGGTTTTAACATATTAGTTACTACCTTCCTTATGTAGGCTAACAAAATTCATGTCTCTCGCTTCATTCATACTGTTCCTCTGGGTCAGCTCCCTGTTTAAACCCAACTTTATCTGCCAGGCTGTGCTCCTGCTCCTGTGCCCTTGATAGCCGAACGTTCTTCTCATGCTTCCCAGGTCTCTGGGACAAGCCTGTACTTAGAAATTAGACTGCTGTAGGTTTTGTAAAATCACTTAGCTCTGTCTAAGCATGGCTTTGTATAGCTCCAAGTAGACTTACTGGGGAAGTTATGATGAATTCATGTAAAAGATTTCTCATTAGAAGTATTTCAAAGGAATACATTGCAGTTAAATTAATATCAGTATTTCATATAACCACTAGCTAATATGTGAGATTTCCATGTGTTCTTCTTTGAGGATACTGTAATATGAATCTATCTTCCTATCCTTTTCTGTGGTTTGAAAGTCATATTCTACACCTTTGTACATAGCCACAGGAAATGTATTTTGTTTAGAGGTTACAGTCAACATGATGACTACTACCACAAAGTGTAGAGTTTCAGATGCTTAGACTGAAACTTCTTCAGTTCCATTCTTTGTTGCCATTTGTTGTGTTAAAATACTTATTATTTAAGGAATAATACGGGCTTAAAAGAGCTTGCCAGGAAATGTGTACCTCCGCTGCTCCTTGGAAATGGCAAATAGTTTCAAAATACCCTTCCCATAACCTGTAAAACTTTCTTTCTGCCAACACTCACGATTTTTTCTCTCTCTGCTTATTGTCTAGGAATGTGGTCTTGGATTTTATCGTGAGAATAAAGGACTATTCACTGGACGCTGTGTCCCTTGCAACTGCAATGGAAATTCAAATAGGTGTCAGGATGGTACTGGAAAATGTCTTGTAAGTAACAATTTAACATTCAAGAAATGTATTTTTAATAAAAGAGAAAAAAATATCTCTTACTGTAGTATAGACTACACACTATTGTTAAATTCCTAGCAACTAAAAATAATCCTTGCATGCCTCATTCTCTATATCTTGTACTGTTAAGTTGCGTACACGTACATGTGTGTTTAATGTGGGTGATTAGAATAATTTGTGTCCTTGTTTTTGTTTTTGTTTTTCCCCTATAAGTTTTATTAGCTCATGGTACAAAAAAGTCACCAAATTAGCACCTACGTAAATGGTTGCAGTTATTTATAATAAATATGGGGTCTTATCCTGGCATATGCACTTCTTGGTTTTATACCAAGGGTTTGCCAATGCTGACAAATAGTGTGTTAATGCATAGCATAGTCTGTTTAATCAGCATCAGTAAATCTCCACTAATCTTAATTTACACCTACATGGATTAAAAAATATTGGAGTAAATAAGATGAGATAAAGGGGATAAATGTTAAATTAATTAGAAAATTTCAGCTGTTACACAAGATATAGTGGGGCGGATTCTGTTCCCTGGCACACCGTATTGAACCCAAAGCAGCTTCATGGGAGTGGGTCAGCCCTTGTAGCAATGCAAGTGTGACATTTGTCTGACCGTGCTTCTCCAGCTTATATTCGTGATGCCTCTTTGTACAGTTTGTTCTGAAAAATTCCCCCTGAAAAACTTTTCACTGATTTTTCACTTATTATGTAAACAAGAACCTTGCCAACATCTTTCACGGTCTGTCTTCTCTGTTATTTCTTCCTTGTTCGTGCTGCATCCGTTCTGCCTGCGGTGCATTCCT